ACAGTTTTGTCTGAGAACCAAAAGGTAGATAGTTTTCCCAGGAATCCCTAAAACAGTGACAGGAGGTGCTCACCTACCGAAAGTTAACTTAAAAAGCTCCTGGGTCAAGAAACAAAACATGCAATTGTCTTGACTCAGTGGTATATTTTTTTAGTATTGACTTTTAAGTCCATCAGCAGCTGTATCTGTTTCAGTCTTTTTGGAGCACAAAGTAACTGCTCAGTGAGGGAAACTAGGATGAAAGGAGTAGAAGGCAGCCCGGCCTTCGGGTGCCCTAATGGGCAGCATTCTCCCAGTGCTGTAGTTTCTGATCATCTCACACAATAGAAAATTTTGTCTTTCTAAGGTCCCTCTGAGGCAGAAGGACCTCTTCTATTGTTTCTTCTTTTCCTGTTTTCTGATCTTCCTTGCTAACCATTGTTGATATTCAATCAAATGTCCTAATCACAGTTTCCAGTATCTTTTCTATTGCTGACTTAGATACCTTAACATTATTTTCTTTGCAGAGAACATCTTCAGTTTCTTCTAAATCTGGAAAAAAGCAGATTTCATTTGCTTTTTCTGTCTCCACCTCTCCTTACAGATGTAAAAAAAAATTCTTTTGTTGCCCACCTTTGAGCTATTATGTCAGATTTCCCTCACTCCCTTTCTTATCCCCACACTTCCTATTCTCCCATTAACTTTGGCTCTTTCTTTTTACATTGCAAGTTTTAGCCTTCTCTAATTTAGAAAGAAAAAAAACCCTAACATTCACTACATGTATGCAAATAGATTGATTAGCTTGAGTTGCTTCTCCAAATCTTACCCTATCTCCCTTTCATCTCTCAAGCTCTTTCTGTGTTAACTCTCTCTCTCGTCACTCTCCTCCAGTTCCAGCCTACATCTTCCTTTTCAGTCTCGTATCGACACCTAGCACAGCACAGAAACTGTCAGCTGTGATCCCTGTGCTCATCTCTTTCCAAGCAGAGCTCAGAACCGATACTTCATCCTCATCAACCTTGTCTGATCAGCTCCTTTACTTTGCAAATCTGTAGTTCTTCCTTGTTTTCCCTGTTTTTCACCTTATTTCTAGCTGGCACTCCCTAACACCTTCTATGTCGAGAGTTCATCTCCACTGTGGAGCTGATTCCTCTTGGGCAGGCTGGACCCTTACCTTGTTTCTGACACCTCACCATGAATCTCCAGCCTTCATTTCAAGTTGAACATGGCTAAAACAATTTCTGCTCCACTAAGCTTTTCCTGCTATCTCTTCTCTTGCTCACTGTAGACCATACTTTCACCTTATCTGTCAGGGTTGTTGCCTCCCAGCACTGCTTTTCGTCTTGGCCTTTCTCTGCAGCTTCAGTTCTGGACGTTGTCATCCATTTCCTTGATTTCCCCTCAGTGCTTTGGTCTTGCCTCCATGAAAGTGTGATTCTGCCACATACCGTGGTGGGGAATTGGGATAAGCGAAGAGGGAATCATTGCTTGGTATGGCTTTCCTGTTGGAAATTGTGTACAGGTGGGTTAAATCAAACATGTATGGTACAGTCCTACACAGATGGAATTAAACTAGTGTGACATTATTTAAGATCTCCTTGACATTTCCTCCACCTTTTTCTCCTGCCTGGAATTACCTCCGAGATATTTTGTCTTCTGTGTATAACAGTCATCTCTTAGGATCAGACCGGAGTATCCTACATAATTGTTTTTCCTGATGTTTTTCTGATGAGTCGACAGAAGCTCATCCATCCAGTCAGTTCTCTATGTGATTTGTAGCATAGCCTGTATTTAATGCTATGGATTCTTATTAATTCATGATAATTTTGCATTATATAAAACTAACTCTGCTCTGTTGAGAAAGGGAAGTGCTAAGTGCAACTGACACAAAACTAAGCTCCCAGCTTTAGAAGAATTGGTATAACAAAACTTTAAAGGTCTTCCTTCAGAAGTACTGATTTTATACAAAGCATCTGCCAGAGGTAGCTTCACTGAGTAAAAGCAATCCCATCAAGCTTTGGTGTGGCTGCTGCTGTTGCTATGTAGAACTACTTACAGATCACTTCAAGTATTCAAAGGGTAAAGATGTTAATTAATCCTTACAGATCCTGTGTGGTAGGTATGTTTATAGCTCCATCTTTTTAATGAAGGAACTGAGCCAGAGAGGTGAGGTGAGTTGGCAAAGTCTGCCCTGTACTAAATGGGAAACCAAGCCAATATTAGAACTCTAGAGCCCTTGGTTTCTAATTAGGGGAAAAAGAAGCCTGTTTGCCATGAAATTAAAATGTCTGTGCTTGCCCGCACCACCGACTGGAATGCAAGTTAGACATTTAAAACAGAGGAAGGCAATCGCACTAGAAACTATTGCAGACCATGGCAGCTTATCAATAGGGGGCTGCCTCATTTTTAAATCCTTAGTTGAAAAAACCACAACATTTAAGATAATAAAAACAGGTCCCCTGTTTCAGTCTGTAGGGTGGATCCAAAATGTGTAAATCTGTTTTTCAGCCCTCTGTAGACTGTAAGAGACTGAAGACTGGCTACTGAGACCATACTTTCCTTTTGAATTTACTGTAAAACTTAAGGTGTAAACCTGTGACATAAAGCTCCAAAATTACAACAATCTCTGTGCAAACTTTGCATTGGCATATGGGTATTGATGGATAACTGGTGATTCTTTTATCAACTCATTTGTAATCTACACTTCGTGCATTTTTAATCGTTATTTTTGCAATAGCTTCGCAAGCATTGATAGCAAACCGTTATTTCTCAAAGCTGCCATTGAATCCAGGAGAGATTTCACCTGAGAAATAATTGCGGAAAGTCAGGTCATTTAAACAGCTGTTTAAAGCATGTAATATTTTACAGTAATTTTGTGTCACAAAATATGTGCTTTGCAATGGAGAGAGAATATGCTGTCCTGAACTAGGTGAGTTAAAGACTAATTCAGTTGCTCCATGCAGAGGCTGTCATTCAAAGCCAATCATACAGTATTAGGCTTTTCTAGTTTACTACAAAATCAGACGAATGATAATTTAGTACTTTGATGCTTTTTTAAAAAGAATGTAGATGTGAAGATAGTGTGTCATGTTTGTTATTCTAGGCCTTGGCCATTAAAATAATAATTTGGCATTTCAAGTTTGGTTCTTATGAGATCTTTTTATAATTATTGAATAGAAGGCTTGGGAATAACAAGACATATTTGTTAAGTCCTGAGACTCGAACTCAGGAAAGCTGGGTGCCATCAGCTCCTCAGGCTGTCCTGCAACAGGGCTTTGGCCAAGGCACCCCTCCCTGGGGCCTTATTTCTCTGTTTCCTTGCTCTGTGAAACGATCAGGACTATACTGACCTCTGCTGTCAATGGCCTTTGTGGGCTAAAGAGTAAAGCTGCTGGGTGTGGGCTAAAAGTAGTATTAAAAATATGTTTTTAATATCACCAACAAACTGCCTTGACTGACTGATTATGGAAGAAAGTCTCTTTTTCTAATGAACAAGCACCTATGACTAGAAAGGCTACTACTTATGCATAACTTTGGAAAAGCTTGTAGAAAGGCAATCAGTTTCTCTGTTCCTTGCAGGTCCCAGTGCACTGAAGCTGAGTACTATAGACCAGTGTAATGACACCTTAAAAAAATACCCAAAGCTCAGAACAGTTTTATTATCCCTGAGTTAGACTTTTCACTGTTAGACTATCTAGTCTTGCTAGTTGCTTGGTTTGTCATTTAAAACTGGTCTAGCTGTGTCTTAATTTTTCATACTAAAGTATCTCCAAATACTTAATTTAATGAAATTGTACAATAAATGTTGGCGAAAGGACATCCTAAAAAGCAAACTGACAGAAATTAGTTTTTCAGACTGTTATCCAGGCTGCCTGCCATTCTAGTTATGATCACACTTACTGTTGACAGATGTCCTGAAAAGAAGAGGAAAGTAGTCATTGGGCAGACTCCAAATCAAAAAAAACTGAACATCTAGACTGCCTTAGAAACTCAAGTGAATAGAAGTCTCTTTTGCCTTTTCGCTCCTCCTTCACAAAAAGCATCACCAGGATAACTTAGAGTGTCTGTCCTTAGGACACTAAATGCATATGGGTGTTTTGACAGGAAGTTTGAAAGGGGAGATATTATGTGTTAAGTTTATTGTAATTAAACTTCAAAGTAGATATTTGAGTTGATCCACTTTGGGTTGAGTTTTTACTGAAAAATATATCTGCATTGATTATGTAAAGGCAGCCAATCCAAGAAACAAATAGCCAGACAGTCCTCTTTCCC